CCCCGTCTCTACTAAAAACATAAAAATTAGTCTCCTGCCTCAGCCTCCTAAGTAGCTGGGATTACAGGCATGGTGGCAAGTGCCTGTAATCCCAGCTACTTGGGAGGCTGAGGCAGGAGAATCACTTGAACCCCTGTGGAGGAGGTTGCAGTGAGCTGAGATGGCACCACTGCACTCCAGCCTGGGTGACACAGCTAGACTCCATTTTCCCCAACTCCCACAAAAAAAAAAAAAAAACAGCAGCCAGGCATAGTGACACTGTTCAATAATCCCAGCTACTTGGAAGGCTGAGGCAAGGAGATTGCTTGAGCCCAGGAGTTTGTGACTAGCTCAGGCAACCAAAATACTAACTTTGTACCTTAAATTATTAGAAAAAGAAGAACAACCTAAACCCAAAGCTAGGCGAAGGAAGAAAATAGAGGTTAGAACAGAAATAAATGAAATAGAAGAAGGAAAAACAGACCTATAACTACCAAGGAGATGGAATCAGTGACCAAAAACTTGACAAGAAAGAAAAGTACAAGAACAGATGGCTTCATGGGTGACTCGTACCATACATTTACAGAACCAATACCAATCCCGCTCATATTCTTCCAAAATACCGAGGAAAGAATACCTCCAAACTCATTCTGTGAGGCCAGCATTACTGATCCCAAAGGCAGACAAAGCACCAGAAGAACACACACCACTATCCCTGATCAATACAGATGCAAAGTTCTCAAGAAAATACTAATAAGGAGAATTCAACAGCGTCATAGAAGGATTATGCAACATGGTCAAGTGAGATGTATTCCTGGAATGCAAAGGTGGTTACCACATAAAAATCAATGTAAGATATCCCATTAACAGAACAAAGGAAAGAAAATCATGCCTATTTGTTTCAATTAGTACAGAAAAAGCATTTAACCAAGTTTAATACCCTTTCATGATTAAAAACATACTGACTAGAAATAGAAATAATCTCAATGTAATAAAGGTCATGTGAACAACCACCGCTAACATTCTCGATGATGAAACACAAAGTTTTCCCAAGATGAGGAATAAAACAGTGACGACTGCTTTCATAATACTGGAAATCCTAGCCAAAGCTTCAAGAAAGGAAAAAGAAAAGGCGTCTAAATTGGAAAGGAAGAAATAAAATTATCTCTGTTAACAAATGACGTGTTCTTTTTTGTAGAAAATCCTGAAGATTGCATGAAAAAAAACTGTTAGAGCTAGTAATGTGGCAAAGTTTCAGGATTACAAATTCAGCATACAAAAGTCGGGGGCATTTCTTCACACTGTCAACAACCCAAGAAGGAAATTAAGAAAACAATTCCTGCTGGGCTTGGCTGTGGGATGCCTATAGTCTCAGCTACTTGGGAGGCTGAGGCAGGATTGCTTGAGTCTGGGAGGTCAGTGCTGTCAGTTTTTATAATGATTATGCCTGTGAATAGCCACTGTACTCCAGCCTGGGCAACATAGTGACACTCTATCTTAAAATAATAAAGAAAAAAGTCAGTTTACAATAGCATTAAAAAGGATAAAGTAGGAATAAACTTAACCAGGAGACAAAGACTTTGGCAGCATTTAGAGTTCCAGGGACTGGTTGTGTAATAAACGTAAAGGCATCTCATATTTATGGATAAGGCTTAGTTTTGTTAAGATGTCAATATGACTCAAAGTGATCTACAGGTTTAGTGTAATTGATCTCACAATCTCAGTGACATTGTTTCTTCAATTATAGAAAAATCCATCCTTATAAATTGTGTAAAGTTTATATGCAATTTCAAGGGATCCCAAATGGCCAAAGCAATCTTGAAAAAGAATAACAAAGTTGGAAGTCTTTTGCTTCCCAACTTCAAAATGAATTATTAAATGCTACCGTGGTCAAAAGTGTGGTATGGCAGTAAAGACATGCAGAGAGACCAGTGGAATGGAATACAGAGTGCAGAAGGAAACTCGTATGCATACGGTCAAATGAGTTCAATGAGGATGCCAAGACTTGTCAATCAGGGAAGCGACAGTCATTCAACAAACAGTGTGGGAAAACTAGATATCCACAGGCAAAAGAATGAAGTTAAACCCATACCTCATAATGAATCAAAGACCTAACTGTAAGCTCTAAACCTATGCAACTCTTGTTTTTTTCAGACGGAGTCTCGCTATGTCACCCAGGCTGGAGTGCAGTGGTGCGATCTTGGCTCACTGCAACCTCCAGCTTCCAGGTTCAAGCAATTCTCTGCATCAGCCTGCCAAGTAGCTGGGATTACAAGTGCCCACCACCACACCCACCTAATTTTTGTATTTTTAGTAGAGACGGGGTTTTACCATCTTGGTCAGGCTGGTCTTGAACTCCTGACCTCGTGACTCACCTGCTTTGGCCTCCCAAAGTGCTGGGATTATAGGTGTGAGCCACCCTTCCCATCTGACAACTCTTAAAACGTAGAAGGAGAGCTTCCTTTGGCAATGATTTCTTGGCTATGACACCAAAGGCACAAACAACAAAAGGAAAAGTACACAAATTGGATTGCATCAAAGGATACTATTAACAGAGTGAAAAGACAACCTGCAGAATGACAGGACAGACGTGCAAATTACATGTGAACGAGTTCCCATCTAGAATAGATAAAGCACTCTCGCAATGCAACGACAAAACCCAACTAACGCAGTTCAAAACTGCACAAAGGACGTGAATAGACAGTCCTCCAAATAAGAGAAGCTAATAGCCAATCAGCACATAAAAAGATGCTCACCATCACTAATTATTAGGGAAGCTCAAACAAAATCACGTGGAGAGGCCGGGCGCAGTGGCTGATGCCTGTAATCCCAGCACTCTGAAAGGCTGAGGTGGGCAGATCACTTGAGGTCAGGAGTTTGAGACCAGCCTGGCTAACGTGCTGACACCATGTCTCTACTAAAAATAAGAAAATTAGCTGGGTGTGCTGGCGCATGCCTGCAGTCCCAGATGCTCGGGAGGTTGATGCAGGAGAATTGCTTGAACCCAGGAGGCGGAGGTTGCAGTGAGCCAAGATCACATCACTGCACTCCAGCCTGGGTGACAGCAAGACTCCACCTCAAAAAAAGAAAAAGAAAACCTACATGGAGACGCCACCTCAGACTCGTTAGGATGGCCGTAATCAATACAGAAAATAACAGGTGTCAGCGAGGATGCTGAGCAGTTGGAACCCTTGTGTACTTTACTGGGAGTTTAAAATGGAGCTGCAGCTATGGAAAGCAGTATGGCAGTTCATCAAAAAGTTAAAAATAGGCCAGGTCCAGTGGCTCACACTTACAATCCCAGCACTTTGAGAGGCTGGGGCAGGCCAATCACTTGAGGCCAGGAGTTCGAGACCAGCCTGGCCAACATTGTGAAACCCCATCTCTACTAAAAATATAAAAATTAGCCAGGTGTGGCAGTGCAGGCCTGTAACCCCAGCTACTTGGGAGGCTGAAGGATAAGAATCGCTTGAACCCAGGAGGCAGAGGTTGCAGTGAGCCAAGATTACACCACTGCACGCCAGCCTGGGTGACAGAGCAAGACCCTGTCTCAAAACAAAGAATTACCATATAATCCAGCACTTCCACTTCTGGGTGTGTACCCCCTACAATTCAAAGAGCCTCACACATTTATACACTGATGTTCATAGCAGCGTTGTTGAGAGCAAATTCTGACGTGTGTGAGAAATGACATTGTTTGCTGAGAAATCCTACTGAAAGCGGCAGCAAGGAGAACCTAGCTGCCTGCCCCCAAAGCGGAAAACTGCCCCCAAAGCATTATAAAACAGTAACCAATATAAATATGTCTCACGCCAGATGAATTAGTTCTTTGAACACAGGATACGTGACCCTTTCCTTTGTTCCCTTGGAAAGAGCGCTTTCTAATTTGTCTTTAACCTATAGTAAACACACACTAGCTGCCTGGTTAGTTTGCCTTTAACTAGTGAAAGAACACAGAGCATCCGCTTGTAAAACTTGTCACTGGAAAGTCAAAGATACATACGTAGGTCAGAGTCTGCTCTGTGAGACCCCTGCTGCTTTACTCTGAACCCATGTCTGTCTGTCTCTCTCTTTCTCTCTCCCTCTCTCTCTCTCTCTCTCTCTCTCCCTCTCTCTCTCTCCATGGCTGAGCTGATCTCAGCACAGCGTTTAGACATTGGAAATGTATATTTACTGAGCACCTCTGTGCTGGGCATGATAATATCATTATGAACACCGTAGTTATAAAAAGCACTCTTAGGGAGCTACAACTCTAAGTGTAAAAACTAGCAGAGACAGACAATAATAGACAGACCCGCAGGACTCAGATAGGAGGCTTACTAGACAGATTATAGATTTCAGCAGGGAACTGAAATGATTAAAATTACTAATCACTAAATTTGTTGTTTAGTAATTAATTTAGCCAATCGGCTAATTTACTAATTACTGAAAATTAAATATCTGGAAAAGAACCAGAATGTAGTAGAAAGAGAAGGCAGAAAAGGCCACCTAAAGCCCATCTTTTAGACAGTTCTCTTAGCAGATGAGGGATAAAAGGCACTTCCTAGCCAGGCATGGTGGCTCATGCCTGTAGTCCCAGCTACTCAGGAGGCTAAGGCAGGAAAATCACTTGAACCCAGGAGGCAGAGGTTGCAGTGAGCCGATATCATGCCACTGCACTCCAGCCAGGGCAACAGAGCAAGACTCCATCTCAAAAAAATAAATAGCAGGGCACGGTGACTAACACCCATAATCCCAGCACTTTGGGAGGCTGAGGAGGGCGGATCACTTGACGTCAACAGTTGGAGACTAGCCTGGCCATACCCCGTCTCTACTAAAAATACAAAAACTAGCTGGACATGGTGGCAGGCATCTGTAATCTCAGCTACTCAGGAGGCTGAGGCAGGAGAACTGCTTGATCCCAGGAGGCAGAAGTTGCAGTGAACCACTGCACTGCAGCCTGGGTGACAGAGCAAGACTATCTCAAAAAAATTAAATAAAGCCCAACTTTTAAACAGTTCTCCCAGCAGATGAGGGATAGAAGAGCGCTTCCTTACCCTGGTAGCTCTGAGTGTCCAGTCTGTGCCCTTGCCTACCACACTTGATGGGGAAACGGAGCAGCCTGGACTGCAAGCTGTACTGAAGACCCCACCCACACAGTGAGAGTTCCCTTTGGCCTGCACTTCGGGTTGGATGCATCCCGAGCTCTCAATGCATCGTGTGCTAAGGTTCCACCCTCCCCTGGGCTGGGAAGTATGTCTTGGTCTTCTGTCTCCAGGGTGCTGGTGGCAGAGCCTGACATGGAGTCAGTGCTCCATAGATGCTTGTTCAAGTTCCTATTAACTGAGCAGGCTGGGCCTAACACCACTGCCTGCAAAGGCCTGGCAGGTGTAGGGACTCATCGACCCGTCCCTGCTGCTCTTACAGAAAGGGGAGAGGGAGGTGGGTGGGAGTGGATGGAGAGTTGCCCTTTTATTAAGGAGGGCCAGGGGCTGTAATAGGGGCCCCGGCATAACTTATCTCAGGAAACAGCAGGGGCCCCCTCCTCTGGGGCCCATAGCCTGGCCTTACTTCTCTTCTCTCTTCTTTACAGTTTGAGACTTCGTCTAAGCCAGCACTAGGCTGCCAAAGACTTCAAATTCCTCTACCTTCTACTCTAATTCCAGCTCCTTGATGAGGGCAAGATTCTTGGCTGGGACAGAATGACCAGCATGGAATTCTGGGAAACTCAGAACCGCACGTGCTGCAAATGCAGGGAAGAAGAGCTGCTTGCCACTGCGCTCAGAATACTTCTGAGGACGTGGAACTGTCCCACTGGTCTGGGTAATTTCCCCCCTTCCTCCACATCTCCACTGTAAACCAAGAGACAGCACGGCTAGCGAGTCCCAGCCCTGCAGCGAGAGCTCTACCTGGCTCCTGTTCATGCCCAAGGTATTCACTTATTCAACAGCCACGCGGGAAGCCACCACTTCAGAACACTGACTGTGTGGAGGGGGACACGAAGCCAGATCCTCAGCTGCCTGGTCCTGGCTTTCCCTGCCTGATCCAGGAGTCTCCTGAGGCAGGAAGTTCTTTGAGGGGAACTGATAGCTCTTCAGAAGCCTGGTAGAGAGCTGCTGTCTTTGGGGTAGACACACTGGGACTGAATGCTTTGGAGGACCTCTGTTTTTGTGGGGGAACCTGTGAACTCGGGCCCCCAGGCTACAGCATTCAAAGTTTTTAACTTTCTTTTTGAACATAACCTTTCCTTTGAGTTTTCAACTGAAAAATAAAGCTAGCAGAATCCAAGAATGTGTCTCTGGATTGCTGGGGCTGATCATCCACTCAGGAGATGGGGAGACGTGGGTAGCTACGGAATCTTCTCAGCAATAGGGGGTGCCCTCGAGCCCTCTTTGGGCTGAGACTTTGGTAGGAGATTGTAGGGTCCAGATTCCAGAGCAAAGGGCCAGGTGTCAGCCACGGGGATGGAGGCAAGCTGAGGGCCAGACACCAGACTTGGCTGTCCCTGACCTCCCCACCCATGAATCCCAGGTGCACAGCAGGTGCTTGATGAAGTTCAGAAGAAAGAACTCCAGGGCAAATGGGAATGAGAAGGTTGGTCCTCCACATTCCCACGCTGGAGGGAAGAGAAGGGGGGGTGGCTGGGATCTGAGTGTTTGCTATGGTTACAGTCTGAAGATCCTGAGCCCAGGCACTGCTCCGAGTACCTTGAAAGATGTTTGATCTTAAGCCTTACAATAGTCCAATGAGGAATAGATGATCTCCTTAATGAGGGAAGAAACAAAGGCTCAGAGAGTGGAGGGGATTCCCCCAAGGTCATATAACCTACAAATGGCCAGGACGGTGCTGATGCGGGCCTGTCTGCCTCCCAGGGCTGCCCAAGCTCAGTCACCCCCCACCACTTCTGCTTTTGCAACAATAGCCTTATGCCACATATTCTACCAGTTACTTTATGCAAGAAAGTCAAGTAAACGTTAGCCATATCCCAAGCCATTAACAGGTAGCTCCTGTTCAAAATACCCTGTAAATCAGGTCATGTTACAGGTGCCGTGCTAGGCTTGTTTTAGGGAACTCGGCCTAGGAATATGAGCGAAGAGACAACTCACAAAGCAAAGCAAATCACTGGCACGCAGGGGCCTGAGCAATTCAGCCAGAGGCAACTAGAGTGTGCAGCCCCCTGACCTGCTGGTTTCCCAACATGCTTAATGGATCCATGATGTCGGGTCCAGAAGTAAACGCAGAAGCCTTCCCTTCCTGCCTCCCACACTCTGGGTCAAGTTTTACCAAAAGCACAGCAGTGGACTGGACACCAGCAGAGATACACAGAGGGAAAAACAGTTCTCCCTCCTCAAGGCAGGTTGGACAACATCAATATTTTGCAGTTGGGGGGCGCGGGTGGAGTGTGTGTGCATGCCTAGAATTTAAAGACAAACAGATGGGAGAGGGAATGATTCCAGCAAAAGGATCGATAAATATTCACGTCTACAGTGTACACTGAACCGCAGCCTAGACCACATAGCGAGGCTCTGTCTCTACAAACAATTTAAGAATTAGCCGGGCATGGTGGCATGTGCCTGTAATGTCAGCTACCCAGGAGGCTGAGGCTGGAGGATCACTTGAGCCCAGGAGTTTAAAATTACAATAAACTGTGATCACACCACTGCCGTCCAGCCTGGGCATCAGAGCAAGGCCCTATCTCTAAAACAAAACAAGATAAGATGTTTACATAAAAATCAGTGTATGAAAATCCAAAATAAAATATTAGCAAATGAACCCCACTGGGGCTTAAAAAAAGTTACCTAGGTCGCCAAATACGTAACGTTGCCGGCCGAAGCCGTTCCACTGGGGAGTGTGTACGCAGCAAGCCAGTCCCAGCACCGCCCGGCCAGCTCCCTTAACGCCCGCGACAGTGGCCCGGACGCCACCTGAACGTGACTCTGCCAGCCAAGATATCAACCTGAATTCTCCTAACAAAGGTCTGCTCTGACTCCATGACCGATGTCCCTGTCGACACAGGTGTGGCTGCCCGGACTCCTGCTGTTGAGGGTGAGGGTCTGACAGAGGCTGAGGAGGAACTCAGGGCTGAGCTGACCAAGGAGGGAGAGGAAATTGTCACTCTACACCAGGTCCTGGCAGCCAAGGAGACGCACTGCGGAGAGCTCAACAGGCTGGGCCTCTCCACCCTGTGGGGTTGAAACAGAAGCTGTCCAGGAGCTGCCATGATGTGCAGGTCTCTAACAGCTATAGGCAGACTCAGGAAACTCTTTCACAGGCAGGACAGAAGGCTTCAGCTGCCCTGTCGACAATGGGCTCTGCCATCAGCAGGAAGCTTGGAGACAATGAGGAACTCTGCAACCTTCAAGTTGTTTGAGGACCGAGTTGGGACCATAAAGTGTATGGCTGTGGGCCGGCTGCGGTGGCTCATGCCTGTAATCCCAGCACTTTGGGAGGCTGAGGCGTGTGGATCACCTGAGGTCAGGAGTTTGAGACCAGCCTGACCCATATGGTGAAACCCCGTCTCTACTAAAAAAATACAAAAATTAGCTGGGTGTGGTGGCATGTGCCCGTAGTCCCAGCTACTCAGGAGGCTGAGGCAGGAGAATTGCTTGAACCCAGGAGGCGGAGATTGCAGTGAGCCGAGATTGCACCATTGCACTCCAACCTGGTGCCTGGCAATAGAATAAAACTCTTGTCTCCAAAAAAAAAAAAAGAAAAAAAGGTCTAAGGTTGTGAAAGACAGAACGGCAGTGACAACCTCCCTTCCTCAGTGGGGAATGGTGACAAGCCCCTGTCGGATCTCACACTTTTTTAAGCCCGAGGTTGCTTCACCCACCGCAGAGCACACGCAGCACACCCTCAGCATCACAGCCTGCGCAGCGGAGCAGCCAGCCAGGCAGATGAGCAGAGCCGGCCTGGACCACAGTCCTGCCCATCCACACGGAGATGCGGCTGCTGCGTTCGCAGGAATTAGAGAACACAGTCTTGTACACAGATGTTTTACACTAAAGTTTGTAGATGAACCAGATCACTGTGCCGTCCTTCCTAGGGGTTCAGGAAGGGGACAGGGCAGAGGATTTGAGAGAATTGAGCCAATGCCCAGGCTCCCTTTGGGAATCTTGTTAGCCCATTCAGAATGTTGAAGGATTGAAGAGTCCTAAGCATAAAAGAAATGGCATTTTCTGAGCTCTTCCTCCTCCTCCTTCCCTGACTCACAGAAGGAATGCAATCAACCAGCAAGTCCTACCTGTTCCACTATTTTTTAACCCCAAAATGCTGAACGAGAAAACTGCTCATGTTCTGAGACCCACCAGAAAGGAAACTGATCAGCAGCAGCTGCCTAATTGTGCCGCTAATCTAGCTTTAGCGGACGCAAATTCATTATTTTTTAAATGCAGTGGACTTTCCAAAAATGAAAATTAGGCAAAGCAGACAAAAGACTTAACCAAGTGAGACTTGTAGAATGTGAAAAGGATGGCTCAAAATCAGAACATCTTTTCATTTCCTTTATATTAACATGTTAAAATCATAATCATCACAGATGTTGAAAGGCATCTGACACAATTCACCACAAAATTTATAAAAGAACCTTATCAAATTAGAAAGAGGGATACCTCCTTAAATTACACACAATAAAGGAAATTACACCCTGACACACACCCATCAAGCCAAAGCCCAGCATCATTTGTAAGGGATGGAAGCAATGGAAGCTTCCATCAACCTTCGCAACAAAAGAATGCCGTCCGTTACCACTATTATTTTGGAGGCCCTAGCTGATGAAACTAGGCAAGGAGGAAAGTAAGACATTAAAGAAAAAGGAGGTGAAATAATTATCTTTACTCTGAAAAATGAGGCGGACAGATTTTGCTAAGAAGTTAGATACAAAAGTAACATACTAAACAGCCTTCCTTCTTAATTTTTAAACTACAGAGATGGGGCCAGGCACAGCTCATGCCTGTAATCCCGGCACTTCGGGAGACCGAGACAGGTGGATTGCTCGAGGCCAAGAGTTCAATACCAGCCTGGCCAACATGGCAAAACCCTGACTCTACTAATAATACAGAAATTAGCCAGGTGTTGTGAAACACAACTGTCATACCAGGTACTTGGGAGGCTGAGGCATCAGAATTGCTTGAACCTGGGAGGTGGAGGTTGCAGTGAGCCGGAACAGCACTACTGCACTCCAGCCTGGATGACAGAGCAAGACCCTGTCACACACACGCAAAAAAAAAAAAAAAATAGAGATGGGGTCTTATTATGCTGCCCAGGCTGGTCTCAAACTCCTGGGCTCAAGCAATCCTTCTGCCTCAGTCTCCCAAAGTTCTAGGATCACAGGCCTGAGCCACCAAGCCTGGCCTCTGACAGTCTTCCTATGTACAAACAAGCAGTTAGAAAAGAAAACAACCCATGTGCAACAGCACACCCCCCAAAAAAAACCTCTCAGAAATAAATGTGCTAAAATATGCACACACAATCCATATGAAGACATTTTTCAGTGAAACACTCTGAATGCCAAGAAAGCCACACTGCACATGCTATCGAGAAAGGGTCAACATTAAGAAGATGTCACGGCCAGATATGGTGGCTCACACCTGCAATCCTAGCACTTTGGAAGGCCAAGGTGGGTGGATCATGAGTTTGAGACCAGCCTGAGCAGCATGGCAAAACCCTCTCTACTAAAAATACAAAAAAATAGTGGCTTGCATCTGTAGTCCCAGCTACTCGAGAGGCTGAGGCAGGAGAATTGCTTGAACCCAGCAGGCAGGGGTTGCAGTGAGCCGAGATTGCACCACAGCATTCCAGCCTGGGTGACAGAGTGAGACTCCATCTCAAAAAACAAACCAAAAAAAGATGTCACTATCAATATCAACTGGAGGTGTGTGGCGATGGGGTCTTCACATACTCTGGGGGAATGTAAGATAGCACAGCCACTCCAAAAGACAGTTTGGCAGCTTCTTAAAAGGTAAATATAAATTTACCTTATGGAGCCGGCTGCAGTGGCTCAGGCCTGTAATCCCAGCATTTTGGGAGGTCAAGGTGGGTAGATCACCTGAAGTCAGGAGTTCGAGACCAAACCTGGCCAACGTGGTGAAACCCGGTCTCTACTAAACATACCAAAAAAAACAGAGCAATGTGGTGGCGGGTGCCTGCAATCCCAGCTACATGGGAGGCTGAGGCAGGAGAATCACTCACAACTGGAAGGTAGAGGTTGCAGTGAGCTGAGATCACGCCACTGCACTCTAGCCTGGGTGACAGAGTGAGACCCTTGTCTCAAAAAACAAAAAAAAATTAGTTAGGTGTGGTGGCGCATGCCTGTAATCCCAGCTACTCGGGTGGCTGAGGCAGAAGAATCCCTTGAACCCAGGAGGTGTGGGTTGCAGTGAGTCAAGATCATGCCACTGCATGCACTCCAGCTTGGGCAACCGAGTGAGACTGTCCCCAAGCAAACAAAAGGAAGTCACTGCGCAGCCCACACCGACGGAGGAGGCATCCTAAACTTTTATCGAGTCTGGCAACTCTGCCTGTCACATCAGCACATTCCAAATACTCCACAGCTCCATGAGGCTGCTGCCAATCACATCAGACAGCATAGCTGTACTCAGGAACATCAAGGAAAAGCACCCACACACCAGTCACTCAGGTACCACTGGACTACTGTTTACTTAATAGTTTTCTGTAAAAGGGCTCACTTTTTTTAGGCATTTTTTTTTTTTTTTTTGAGATGGAATCTCGCTCTGTCCCCCAGGCAGGAGTGCAATGGAGTGGACTCAGCTCACGGCAACCTCTGCCTCCTGGGTTCAAGCGACTCTCCCACCTCAGTCTCCTGACTTGCTGGGATTATAGGCGCACACCACCACACTTGGCTAATTTTTGTATTTTTAGTAGAGATGGGGTTTCACCATGATGGCCAGGCTGGTCTCGAAATCCTGACCTCAGGTGATCTGCCCGCTTTGGCCTCCCAAAGTGCTGGGATTAGAGGTATGAGTCACAGGCTTTTTAAAAAGGGAACTTGATATCACTACCTTGCAACGGCCCAGTATCAAGGATGGCCCTGGACGTCCAAGGGGTAGAGCAGCTCTGTTCCTCCAGTTGGGCTTTTTCCAGCCTTCCTTTCTTCTCCTCAGAAGCCTGGGGCAGACGGGGACCCCTTGGTCCTGGTCCTCTGGGCTCCATGGCCCCCACTCGAGGGAGCCTTCGCCAGTTCACAACCAGCGTCACGGGCAGCTCTGACCCCTCCTGTGCCCCATGCGTCTCTGGGGCAGAAAGCTGTAGATCTGTGGCTGCCAAACCTGGCTGATGATGAGACTCACCGGAGGGCTTTCTAAAAGCTTAGATTTTCTTGAGCCCCCAGCACGTGGATCCTAATTGAAGCTACGGGTAGGGACCAGGTTAGAAACAGCCCAGGTGGAGCTGATAATTAGCTACATGCCGGAGTCCTACACGCAGGACAACCAGGCTTAGCTGTGCTCTGGGAAGATTTTCACCTGCAAGTAATGCACAGCTGTCCGATGGAAGAGCCCAGGCCAGGCCCTGACTCCCACTCTCTTTTTTCTTGAGACGGAGTCTCACTCTGTGGCTCAAGCTGGAGGGCAGGGTCACGATCTTGGCTCCCTGCAACCTCCGCCTCCTGGGTTCAAGCAATTCTCCTGCTTCAGCCTCCTGAGTAGCTGGGACCACAGGCGTGTACCACCACGCCTGGCTAATTTTTGTATTTTTAGTAGAGGCAGGGTTTCGCCATGTTGGGCAGGCTGGTCACGAACTCCTGGCTTCAGCATATCTGCCCACCTTGGCGACCCAAAGTGCCGGGATGACAGGTGTGAGCCACCGCGCCCGGCCTGACTCACTTTCTAAAATGAGCAGTACCCGCGGAAGGAAAGTGTCTAGCTCGACCTTCTCCCAAGCTCACAGGACATGGAATTAGGTGCCGACAGACCCTTCAGAGAAACTCCTTTCCCTGTCCTGTGTGACCAGGAGGAAAGGAGGCTTAGTGGTCTGGTATTTCTGGGTGTGCAGCCTCTTTGTTTCTTCCTTATCTTTCTTGCCCATATCACATCTCAGGTCCCTTGGATCAGGGACAGAACTAGATTGTACCTCTCTGGGTGGCCGCTCACTACACTTTAGGGCTAGGTAACTGGTTTAGTGAGTTCCAGGTTCACAGAGGGAGAGGAACTGCTCAGGATAGGTTATCCCCAGAGCCTCCCCCATGCCAGATTGAGGTGATTTAGGTGATGAGATTTAGAGCAGATTTTGGACTCCTGAGTTGATGTTATAATGGGATGAGGCCTTGGGGCAGAGTGGATGTACTTTGTATTTGGGATGAACGCAAATCTTCGGGGTCTAGAGGGCTGACCAGGTAGACAGGCTGGCCCTCCCCACACAACGATGTCCATGCCCTAATCCCAAGAACCTCTAAATATGTCACCTTATGTAGCAAAAGAGACTTTGCAGGTGGGATTAGCAAGGGGTTTGAGATGGGGAGATTGGCCTGGATACCCAGGTGAGCCCAATCTATCCACACACGTCCTTAAAAGCGCGGGACTTTCTCGGGCTTAAACAGGAACAATGAGGAGGAATGGGAGGTCCGAGAAGTCACCACCTGCACAGGGAGCAACCACGTGTCTCGTTCACCTCGCGTATCCCCAGAGCCTGGAACCCAGCAGGTGCTTGGCCACAGAAAGGCCAATAAAGTGAACTTTTGTGTTTTCTTTCTGTCTTTGAGATGGAGTTTTGCTCTTGTCGCCCAGGCTGGAGTGCAATGGGGCATTCTTGGCTCACTGCAACCTCTGCCTCCCAGGTTGAAGTGATTCTCCTGTCTCAGCCTCTGGAGTAGCACGTGCCATCGCGTCTGGATAACTTTTTTGTATTTTTAGTAGAAACGGGGTTTCACTATGTTAGCCAGGCTGGTCTCGAACTCCTGACCTCAGCTGATCTGCCCGGCTCAGCCTCCCAAAGTGCTGGGATTACAGGCGTGAGCCACTAAAGTGAACTTTTAAGCACTGGATTCCAGCTAACAGCCATGTTGGGTGAATTATTTAACCTCTCCGACCCTACATCATCCTGTTTCTATGGATATCAGAAGTAAAGTCAGTGAAATAACCCACCCAAGGTCATCCAATGCATGAACAGTGGGGCTGGGCCTACTGCAAGCCCCTCAGAACCCATCTGGTTGCCAAATCCAGCACCCCCCACCCCCACCTCGGCCGGGCCAAAATGGGCAGAGCTTTTGGGAACAGGGGTGAAACTTCTCATGGCCGCATTTCGTTCCTTTGCTGCCTTCTGTGCCTTTGTTTTCTGGCGACTGGTTGTCATCCCATTTCCTGAGCACAGACCAGCAAGGGGTGTCAGTGCCCCGTGCAGAGACCTTCAGCTCCCAGAGCTGCCCTGGGGAAGGGCTTGGTCCTGGCCACCCTCAACAACAGAGTGTCCTTAATGACGAGGGGCACCTACTGGTCCATAACCTGGCTCCGCAGCTGGACAGAGCCCTGGACAAAGGAGTTCATCTCCATGGCTGCAGTTTTCACAGCTGTGGAAGGGGACAGGGGAAACGGACCTCCCAGGGGTCCTGGGACAGTAAAATGAAGCAACTCATGAGACAGCTTCTAGCACAGTCCCCGACACTTAATTCCTAGTTGAACTTCCATTCTGTTTTTGTTTAGTTTTTTTGAGACAGGGTCTTGCTCTTTAGCACAGGCTGGAGTGCAGTGGCTCAGTCTCGGCTCATTGCAACCTCCGTCTCCCGGGTTCAAGCAATTCTCCAGCATCAGCCCCCCGAGTAGCTGGGATTACAGGCACACGCCACCACACCCAGCTAATTTTTGTATTTTTTAGTAGAGATGGGGTTTCATCATATTGGCCAGGCTGGTCTCGAAATCCTGACCTCATGATCCACCCACCTTGGCCTCCCAAAGTGCTAAGATAGAGGTGTGAGCCGCCGCACCCCGCCAAGAGTTTGATTTTTATAAAATTGAGCCAGGTCCTGTTGTAAGAACTTTGTAGGAAGTATCCCATGTACCCCACAGACCCTGAAAAAACTCTGTTCTACACAGGTGAGGAAACCGAGGCTTAAGGAAGCTAGGTGGCTTGACCATAAACTCTCAGTAGCCTCTATGAGGCTTTGGCCTGCACACCTAATATGGTTTGGCTGTGTCCCCACCCAAATCTCATCTTGAATTGTACTTCCCATAATCCCCACATATCATGGGAAGGACCCCATGGGACGTAATTGAATCATGGGGGTGGATATCCCCATGCTGTTCTCGTGACTGTGAGTTCTGAGATTTGATGGTTTTATAGGGGCTTTTCCCCCGTTGCTCAGCACTTCTCCTTCCTGCTGCCATGTAAAGAAGGACATCTTTCCTTCCCCCTCTGCCATGATTGCAAGTTTCCTGAGGCCTCCCCAGCGCTGAAGAACTGTGAGTCAATTAAACCTCTTTCCTTTATAAATTACCCAGTCTTGGGAAGTTCTTTATAACAGTGTGAGAACAGATTAATACAACACCTCAACCCTGACCTATAAAGTAACCAGGCTCCTGGGCTGAGAAGGGAGCAGGAACATCATCAAGTGGCTCCTCACCAGCGAGACCTCTTCTATTCAGGGAGCCTTTCTTGAGCCCCACCACTGGAATTAACCTCTTCCTTCCACACCAGTTTTCCGGTGCCCCTAATTCAGTTTCCCAACCTCAGTTCTACTGACATTTGGGGCTGGATAATCTTTGTCGTGGGGGCTGTCCTGTGCACTGTAGGATGCTGGGCAGTATCCCTGCTCTCCACCCACGAGACACCGTGGCACTTCCTCAAGTTGCAACAACCAAAATATGTCTTCAGACATTGCCACTGTCTCCTAGGGTGCTAAGTATCCTCTATGGAGAACCACTGTCCTAAGCTACAATACTGTCTGGTAAATAGTTGAGTCTGTGTCTCTCTTACCAGTAAAGCCTGGGGTCTCAAACTAAGTTGTCAGCAGCAGACAGACAGGTAACCCTGGTGTAGCAGGGACAAACTGGCCTTCTGATGTCCCGGCAAAAGGGGTCCATCACACTCAGCCAATGGTGGTCATGCACTGATGCTAGATCTGATTTTTCAGGAGATTTTCTTTTTTTGTTTTTGTTTTAGACGGAGTCTCACTCTGTCACCCAGGCTGGAGTGCAATGGCACGATCTCAGCTCACTATAACTTCCGCCTCCCAGGTTTAAATGATTCTCCTGCCTCAGGCTTCCAAGTAGATGGGACTACAGGCGCCCGCCACCACAAGTGGGGAACTTTTCATATTTTTAGTAGAAATGGGGTTTGCACCATGTTGGCCAGGCTGGTCTCGAAATCCTGACTTCAGGTGATCTGCCCTCCTCAGAGATCTGCCCAAAGAGCCACCGCGCCCAGCTCAAAACATTTCCATGTATAATCTCCATGTTAAAAAAAAATGCTGGCAATGAATTCAATTCTAAAATAAAGGAACAAACAGAAACCATGTGCCCCTGAAAGTCATCAGTGGAATGACTCTCACCCATGGGCTGCCAATCTGCAAACTCTCTCTAGAATGTGAGCTCTGCTCCAGGCACCAAGGCAGCCTGCGTGTTCACTGATTTGCAGCTCCTTAAATCTCCTGCAAAAGACCCAAGGGGCTATAGCGTTTCGCCAGCTCCAGGAGGTGTAAAATGGGCATCTTAAATTACAGTCATGAGCAGACAACTGGGATCTGTTGACACATGTTGGGTGAGCCTCCCTTCCAGGGAGGATTATCCCCCATCCCCCACACCACAGCCCATCACCCTCATGCTCAGGCCTGAAGCAACCCTCTGTGCCAGCCTCGTCGAGCCGTAGCTTCCCAGTGAGATAAAGATCCTTGGAAGAGGGTTTCCTGACACCTGCACTAGTGAGGACAAAGGTCATATGAGAGGAACTGTAGGCCTTGGCTTTACTCTCAACCTGCCCGTTCACCACTTCCCAGGCCGATCAGGCCAAAATGCTTCTGGTTTCCAGAAACAAAGAACCCTACTGCCTTAAGAAAACTGGTTGTTTTGGGCCGGGCGCGGTGGCTCACACCTGTAATCCCAGCACTTTGGGAGGCCAAGGTGGGCAGATCATCTGAGGTCAGGAGTTCGAGACCAGCCTGGCCAACATGGTGAAAACCCATCTCTGCTAAAAATACAAAGATTAGCTGGGCATGGAGGCACATGCCTGTAATTTCAACTACTTGGGAGGCTGAGGCAGGAGAATTGCTTGAACCCAGAAGGCGGAGGTTGCAGTGAGCCAAATCACACCATTGCACTTCAGCCTGGGCAACAAGAGCGAAACTCGGTCTCAAAAGAAGAAAACAAACAAAAAGCCCGGGCGCAGTGGCTTACACCTGTAATCCCAGCACTTTGGGAGGCTGAGGTGGGTGGATCGCAAGGTCAGGCATTCGAGACCAGCCTGGACAACATAGTGAAACCTCATCTCTACTAAAAATACAAAAAATTAGCCAGGTGTGGTGACAGG